GGCTGCACCAAACTGCATTCCCACCAGCAGTGTAGGAGGGTTCCCCTTTCTCCACAGCCTCTCCAGCATTTGTCATTTTTGGATTTTTGAATGATGGCCATTCTGACTGGTGTGAGGTGATACCTCATTGTAGTTTTGATTTGCATTTCTCTGATAATTAGTGATATTGAACATATTTTCATGTGCTTTTTGATCATTTGTATGTCTTCCTTGGAGAATTACTTGTTTAGGTCTTCTGCCCATTTTTGGATTGGGTTGTTTATTTTTTTCTTATTGAGTCATATGAGCTGCTTATATATTTTGGAGATCAAGCCTTTGTCGGTTTCACTTGCAAAAATTTTCTCCCATTCCATAGGTTTTCTTCTTGTTTTATTTCTGGTTTCCTTTGCTCTGCAGAAGCTTGTAAGTTTCATTAGGTCCCATTTGTTTATTCTTGCTTTTATTTCTTCTAGGAGAAAATTTTTGAAATGTATGTCAGATAATGTTTTGCCTATGTTTTCCTCTAGGAGGTTTATTGTATCTTGTCTTATGTTTAAGTCTTTAATCCATTTTGAGTTGATTTTTGTATATGGTGTAAGGGTGTGTTCTAGCTTCATTGTTTTACATGCTGCTGTCCAGTTTTCCCAACACCATTTGCTGAAGAGACTGTCTTTATTCCATTGTATATTCTTGCCTCCTTTGTCGAAGATGAGTTGACCAAAAGTTTGTGGGTTCATTTCTGGGCTCTCTATTCTGTTCCATCAGTCTATATGTCTGTTTTGGTACCAATACCATGCTGTCTTGATGACTGTAGCTCTGTAGTATTGTCTGAAGTCTGGGAGAGTTATTCCTCCAGCCTCTTTCTTTCTCTTCAGTAATGCTTTAGCAATTCTAGGTCTTGATGGTCCATATAAATTTATTATGATTGTTCTAGTTCTGTGAAATATGTCCTGGGGTAATTGGATAGGGATTGCATTAAATCTGTAGATTGCCTTGGGCAGTGTGACCATTTTAACAATATTGATTCTTCCAATCCAAGAGCATGGAATATCTTTCCATTTTTTGAAGTCTTCTTTAATTTCCTTCATCAATGGTTTATAGTTTTCTGTGTATTATTCTTTCACAGGACTTTTTATTCTTGATTGTACAATTAGGTGTCTGATGGTTAAATTGGTGTCTTTAGTGATATTTCTGGTGGCAGGTTGAAAACAAAAGTTTAAAATTAAAACAACTTCAGATATAACTCAGTAGTGATTAGAGCTTCCTTCAAAGTAGCTTTCCTTTTGCTTTGATCCTTGGCTCTCCATTAGGGTCTCTTGGAATATTGTCATCATTTTGCAAGGTTAACTTCACAGTAGAGTTGTCATAGGCACATTTGGCACTATGTAGAAGATATTTTGTATCTTACCAACATGTTTAATCTTCCTTCTTTCCTAGATGTTATCATTCTTGTGCTTTGGTGCTTATAATTTTCAGTTAGAATTGTTCTAGAGCCTGGCTCTTTGCTATTCTGCCTCCAGGTTTTTTAGAGCCTGTGGGCTTGGATGTTTCTCTGTTTGGAGGCAGTATGATATAGTGGTTAGGCAGGTAGACTCTGGGGTCAGATTGCCTGTACATTTTAATCCTTGCTCCACCGCTTATTAGCTATGAGACCATGGGCAAGTTGCTCAGTTTCTCTATACCTAAGTTTCCTCATCTGTAGTGCTTGATTCATGAGGAGTGGTGATAACTGTTAAAAGACCACAGTTCTCTTTTGTGGGAGCAGTATATGGCAATGATGCCAAAAGGCTTCTCTACTTTCTCAGTCTTAGAGTTGTAGCTTCTTTTATCCTCAAATCTTAGGATAGTTTGGCTCTTTATCATCAGTGTTAACCAATTTGATTATGTTGTGCTTTTGTATAGTTATCTTCATGTTTCTTGTGCTTGGGGTCCATGGAGCTTCTTGGATCTGTGAGTTTATGGTTTTCATCAAATTTAGGAACTTTTTCACCCTATTTCTTTGAATATTTTTCCTGCCTTCTCCCACTTTTGGGGATTCCAAGTACACAAGAGATCTCTTGATATTGTCCAAAACATACTGATGCTGTATTCATTTTTTCCAATCTTGTTCTCTCTCTTTGTTTAATTTAGCATAGTTTCTATTGTGATATCTTCAGATTCAGTAATCTCTTTTTCTATAACATTGTGTGTGCTGTTTATCTCGTCCAATGGAAATATGATTTGGATCATTTTTATGTCTTCCATTTTTCTACTTAATATGCTCGCTATTTCCTCCTCCTTCTTAAATATAGTTGTAATAACTTTTAATGTCCTTTTCTATTAATTCTACCATGTGTGCCAGTTCTAGATCAGCTTTAATTGATTGATTTTTCCCTCTTCATTATGGGCTATGTTTTCCTGCTTCTTTTTATGCCTGTTAATTTTTGATTGGATGCTGGCTATTTTTTGATATTCTTAGTATTCTTGAGCTTTATTCTAGGACATAGTTAAGTTATTTGGAAATAGTTTGATACTTTTGAAGCTTACTTTAAGCTTTGTTTGGTGGTGCCAGAGCAGCTTTTGGTCCAGGGCTAATTTTTCCCCTTAATGAGGTTAGATCCTTTTGAGTACTCTACCTGATGCCCCATGAATTATGAGATTTCCCAGTCTGGCTGATGGGAATATAAACTCTTCCTGGCCGCATGTAAGCTCCAGGGATTGTTTCTTCTGTTCTTTTTGCATAGTTTTGTTCCCAATTTTGGTTTGTTGCTTCATATATATGCGCTAATTGGTGCTTTGCTGAAGGGTTGAGGGGGTCCGTCTGCAAATCGATGGAGCTTTCTCTGTGCACAGCTCTCTCTTCTTCGGTGCTCCTCCCTGTGACTTTCCATTGTCTTGGCCTTCCTGGCCTCCCAGTGCCATCTCAGCTCATGTAGACTGCTGGACTCTGCTTGGATTCCTTCTCCCTTCTCTGTGGCCTGGAAACTCTCTCTAGACAGCAAGCTAGGATGCTCATGGGATTTACCCAAGCGGTTCCCCCGTCTCAGGGATCACTGCCCTATGTTGCCTGGTATCTAGTGTCTGAAAGTTATTTTATGTATTTTGTCCATTTCTTAAATTGTTTCAGGAGGGAGGGTAAGTCTGGTCTGTTACTTCATCTTGGGCATGAGCAGGAGTCCAAATCTAGAATAATTTGAAGGCCAAGGAAACCATCATCTGTGATTTTCTTTTTTATGTATTGTTTGCCCTGATTCACATAGATCAGATCTGCCCCTCTACCTCCCCAACTCACACAAATACCTAGACCTTCCACTGAAGCCATCTTAAGGATTAATGGAAACTGCCACCTGACTGGTTAGGCCAGGTAGTAATACTGATCATCCAGTTTGACTATGTTATGGTTTCTTATGAGTCCAAGTGTTCTCTGGGTCTACATAAGTTTTCTAAAAATTATAGAAAGACTTGTAGAAAATTCTAATTGATATAACTTTTATCAACTTACATATTTTAAATTGACATCAGTTTAAACTGTAAGCACTGCTAATGTAACTTTGCCCTCCAAATAGTACGCTTACCATTTCATTTCATGATCCCTACAGTGCTGTCAATGGGAAAAAAATATAACGTAGTTCAAAAGCTTATTTATGTGCTAGATTTTGCAGAATTCTGAAGTTACTTTTGAAATTCTAAAGCATCCTGAGGTTTAGTGAATCAGAATTTTGACTATAGGAAGAAAGACCGTTGCTAGCCTTCTCCTCCTGTTTTCATGCTTGCTGACTGAAAACAGAAGTTGTGCACAGAAGTGATGGGAATAGAATAGGATCAGATCCAAGAATCTTAAAAACAACAATGGCAATATCGTGGCATAGGTTAGAATGGAGACATAGAGGGTAGTCTGTGTCTCAAGAGCAGTAGGTATGAAAAAGATGTGCATTTTAGTTGGCTGTGAATCTTTTTGACTCAGTGTGACTTGGCTGTTGGAATACCTCAAGTGATCCTAATATATATGTATACTGGAACAGCAAATATGAAAGAGACAGTTCATCTGTGGCTTTTTACCACTTATACCAGCTAGTCACTAAGTCCCACTGTGTCTCCCTCCGAGGTATTTTTCACACCTTTTTCTTCCCCCCTTCTTGTCTCCATTCAGTGCCTCATATCCACCCTTGTATAAACAGGGGTCAGCCTACTACAGCAAGTGAACCAACAGGTTTTTTTATGGCCTGTAAGCTATGTTTTTTACATTTTTAAATGGTTGGAAACGTGAAAGAGTAATATTTCATGACATGTGGAAATTATATGAAACTTAAATTTCAAAGTTCATAAATAAAGTTTTGTGGTATTGTTTATGGATACTTTCACGCTATAATAGCAAAGTTGAGTGGTTGCAGAAGAGATCGCATGGCCCGCAAAGCCAAAAATATTTGCTGTCTGGATCTGACCTTTACAGAAAAAGGTTTGCTGAGCCCTGCTCTAAACTACTATTGGAGTGTTCATTTAGAAATGCAGATAGAAAATGATGTTAGCACATATCTTTCTCCCCACTCCAGATATCAGCTTAAGGATCGTCAGTGACTCCTTTCTGCATATGGGGGAAAATCCAGATTCCTTTGTGTGACATCCCAGACTCTTTACAATCTGGCTCCAACCTCTTTTTTCTGGCCTCCCCCCTCACCACTCCACTCTTCTCTAACTTACCAAACTCCCAATGCTAGTAACACTGAGATATTGATTATTCTTTTTGTTTGTTTTGTATTGTTTTGGTTTTTTTTGTGGGAGAGGGGTTAGATAATTAAGTTTATTTATTTATTTTCCAGTGGAGGTACTGGGAATTGAACCCAAGACCTTATGCATGCTAAACACACACTCTGCCATTGAGCTATACCTTCCCCCCAATATTAGTTATTCCTTAACTGCCAGTACTGTTTCAAGCTGGGAAGTCTTTGAAAATGCCATGTGCTGTACCTGTTCTTGCCCACATTCTCTACCCATAAATCCTCCTCAGGCATCCAGGGCTGCCTGTAATGTCGCCTCCTCAGGGAGCATGCTTCAGGCAGAGGCTCCCCTCCTTGGTAGCCTCATGGCACTCTGGGCATTCCTCTTCTCTTAGTACGTATCACCTGATATTATAATTGTGACTATATTCTGAGCTCCTTGAGGGTAAAGACTATGTTCCTTTCATATCCTGCATAGTATCTTGTACATAACAGATACATATTTTTGAATGAATAGATTAATGATTAAAATTAAAACCATATTTTTACTATATATATACAATATGTAACATTTCAAAGATCCCAAACTAAAAATCTGTGTTGTGTCTCTCTCTCTTTAAACATATAATGTCAGAAAATGTACCTTGTGATGGAGCTTTGTGAGGATGGAGAACTCAAAGAAATTCTGGATAGGAAAGGCCATTTCTCAGAGAATGAAACAAAGTGGATCATTCGGAGTCTCGCCTCTGCTATAGCCTATCTTCACAATAAGGGTAAGAGGAGGACCGCCCAGCTCCTTGACTCTGTGAATGCACATGTCACTTTTGTTTAAGAGTAATTGTATTCAGGATTCATAGTCACGGAAATAATGCCTCCTAATATATATTTAGAAGATTTTATTTTAAAAATTAAAAATTTTTCTTTTTAACTTTGTAAATATATTTTAATTAGAAACAAGGCAGGTATACAATTACATTGTATACAAACAAGGATGACATTATGAACATTTCTGTCCAACAGTTGGAAAATAAGCTTAAGTATCAAAGCAAAAGTAGAAAAATCAATAAAAAAGTGAAATTTCTAAAAGTACTTCTATCTTAATAAGAACATTAAAAATCTATATATTCTAGGCATTTAAATTTTTTTTAGACTTAATTATTAGAACAGTTTTAGATTCAAAGCAAAACTGAGCAGAAGTTACAGAGATTTCCTGGATACCTTCTGCCCGCACCTGCACATCCTCCCCCATGATCAGCAGCCCCCACCAGAGCGGTAGGTTAGTTACAATCGATGAACCTACATTGACACGTCATCATTACCAAAACTCCGTAGTCTGCGTTAGGGTTCCCTCGTAGTGTTGTACATTCTGTGGGTTTGGATAAATGTGTAACAACACATATCCACCACTGTAGTATCATACAGAATCATTTCACTACTTTAAAATCCACATTTGAATATCATTCTAATTATTTGAATTGCTTTACTGTTCTCTGGTGTTGCTGCTGCTGTTTTTCCTCATACTCCTCCTTTTTTTCCTTCAGCGTTAGTTTGGCTCACATGTAACTTTAGAAACATCTCATTTTACAGACAAGAAAAGACTTTGTTCCAGAAAGGTGAAGTGACGTGGTTAGGTGTAGTAGAGCTGGTCCTGGGATCTAGGGATTCGTTCAGCAGATATTTCCTGAGCAGCTCTTGCATTGTGTCTAGTCCCAGAGTTACAAAGATTAAAAGACAGGGCCCCTGCCCCTCAGGGAAATTATCAGAGATTGAGTACCGAAAACAAACTGTAATGTGACATGGTCATTTCTCTTGTGGAGAACTGTATAAAGTGCAGGGAGCAAAGGCGTATGAAGTGCCTCATTTGATTTGGAAAGTCAGGGAAGAATTCACAGAGGAAGCAAAACTTGAATTGAGGAACACAAACTCTGACAAAAAAGGGAGGCCTTTCCAGGCAGAGGGCAACAATTTCTTGCAAGGACAGGAAAGCAGAGACTTACTACTATGCTAATGTCAATTCTCCCACATTAAGCTATAAATTCAGTATAGTTCCAAACAAAATCTTAACAGAATTTTTCACAGAACTTGACAGAACTATCCTGAAATGAGTGAGAATAGTAAAGAAAATGATGGAAAAGAGGAACGATGGAGGCAGCAGAGAGACTTGCCCTGCAAAGAGTGAAGACATATTATAAAATTATATTAATTAAAATTGTGTAGTATCTATGTAAGAAGAGATAAACAGAGCAATAGAAACAAGAACAATCCCCAAAACACAGGCTGGGACTGTGTCAGGGAACCATAAATGGTTAGGTATAGTTGCCAGTCCAGGGCTCATTTGACTGCATGTCTTTAGAAATTATGCATATAACTTTTTAAATTTAGGGAAATTGCTGCTATGGATGATGAACTGTATCAGTCACTTGCAAAGGGAGGATTTGGTACATGAAAGTATTTGCATGTACATAAAAATCCTACCTGAGCTCTGACATGTGCAACTAGAGATTTTGTATCTCAAGGATTTTGGGGTTTTAACATAGAAAGAGAAAGAAAGTGGTACTGAAGTTGTAGAAAAATATACTGAAATAAGTGTAGTTTGTATACAGGTAGCCACGTTGCATATGTTAAGCACTTATATTGGCCATGACATATGCATAGAAGTGAAGAAGTCATCCTTTATGTGAGGACCTGGAGACATAGGAAATGGTCCTGGGCTTGTAACGACGTGTCCGCCTCCTTTTGGGAATGCCTAACCTTGGACAGGAGTCTCTTCCACACTCACCAGACCACTGGTCACGAAGGGCAGCCAGTTGGAGTAGCAAATGTTTGGGGAGAGGTGAGGGAGCAAAGATAATGGCTCTTTAAGGTTAGAAATGTGGAGAAAAGGGATTTAAATATAAGGGAATGTAACTGGGCACAATTACACCTGGCACTCAAATATTTTAGCAGTGGACATTAATTGGTCAAATATATTTCTTTGTTCTATATGTGTCCCCTCTATTTTTTCATTATTCATTTCATTTGGTTTTTTATTTATTTTCTTGGTAGATATAGTGCATAGAGATCTAAAACTGGAAAACATAATGGTTAAAAGCAGCTTTATTGATGCTAATGATGAAATGAACTTAAACATAAAGGTAAGATATTAGAAATGGTGGTAAATATTTGCCTATAAACAGTTTGATAGCAAAGTGGCAAAGCACATCCTCTTTTTAGATACTCTGGGAAGCTTTTAAACAGCCAAAAATAAGTGGCTTGTGCTAAAAAAATTAAAATTTCACTAAAAGAGGTTGTAACTGACAAGAATAATTTTACAAGTTAAGTGCTGCTATTGAAGTTTTTAAGTACATATTCACTTGAATAGTTCTAAATCATTAGTTAATAGCAAACAAAGAGATACTCTGAATTCTAATTAATTTCAAAATTATGCCTGGTAATTGATGTGAATGTGTTACAGATTTAGAAAAAAACGCACCTTGGCTGTGCTTTTGATACTAAATTAATGCTAAAGTCTGTATTTCTCATTGAAAAATTTCCTGGGTATTAATATTTATGTCCTAAGCACAATTAATGTGTCAGGTGTTTATTCTTGAGGATTTTATTCAAATTAAGCATCCCTTAAATGTCAAATAAATGATAAGATACATTATTTATTACTTAGCACTTTAATAGTGGCTGCTTTCAAAATATGTGAATGTGTTAATTTGGGAATAAAATGTTATCTGTGAATAACTCAGTCTGTTGCAGTTATAACACAAATAGATTTAACGCATTGCTGTTTTACCCAAGTAAATGTTCATAAATATTTCCATTGTCACTCTATGAGGGCAGGATTTCTATATGTCTTACTCCTTGTTGGTACCTGGAGTTGTGCCTGAAACATAGTATATGCTCAATTAATATTTGGTGCATGAAGGAATAAATGCTCTCCAAAGAACTGAACTGGATCATGAAAGCTTTTGTATATTTGGTATTTGTATAGATTTTCTGTGAGAAAAACATGTATCATGATGCTCCAAGTAGGATCATTGTGAGCACTCCTGGAGAAATTTACTAAATCTTTAGAAAAATAGTGATATCACACGTTGATAGGAACATTTTCTTACTCCATAAGGCACAGGAAACTTTGTATTCAGTGAGTGTGGACTAAGAGCCTATCTTTGGTTGTATGATCAATAAATGTGTTTTTCTGCTTTCAGCCCAAGGCTGTTCCAACTTGGGAGACAAGACCAAGGGCACACACTGAATATTTAATAACCAGATGTTTAATGACGAAGATTTAGAACCAAGCAGAAAGACTGCAGTTGCAGCAGTAGGCCTCCTGTGTATTTGTAGTTATATTGTGTTTTTTTTTCCCTGTAATTTGCTTCTTGCAGTTTTAAATAGTGTAGTAATTGTTTTAATTAGTATACTTTAGAAACACAAAGGAAATAATAGTAAAGAAAAGATAGCATTTACTGGAGATAATGTTTTATAAATAATTATAAGAGGGGGGAGTTTCTGTGAGTGCAGATAATGATTTGCATTTGTAACAGTGCTTTAAACTGGAACATAGCTAGAGCATCAGAAAAATAGATGATAAACGCACTACGGCCAGAATGTATTTTACAATGAAAGAACTTTTTAGAAATAACTTTTTTACTCGAAGAAAAGTTAAATGCCTTCTTGCAAGATGCAACTTCCTCTGTGGAATTGGTGAATTTAATTAGAAGGTATGAAAGATTCAAAACCATGGGTGTTTTCTCAGGATTTGAGAAACCAAGCTTCTCTTTACCAAGTTTCTTCTTCACAGAGAGGAGGGGTTGGGGAGGGAGTGCAAGGTCCTTATTAGTAATACAAGTAAGCCCCTCCATCCTGAAGAATCCCCGAATTCAATGCAATACAGTGTAGTGAAAATCGTTTTGCAGAATGAGTGAGCTCTGGGACCTAAAACAGTCCTCTGACTGTCTGAGTTTCTTCTGGTAGGTGACTGATTTCGGCTTGGCGGTGAAGAAGCAGGGCAGGAGTGAAGCCATGCTGCAGACCACCTGTGGGACCCCCATCTATATGGGTAAGTGAGTAGATTTAGAGTGATTTGTTTTTCTATATGGAAAAGTAGAACAACTGATGTCGATGAAAACTGGAACAATTTGATTTTGCATCATGACTTAATGGCCCTGCTCAAGCTACCTTTTCTTAGGTCTCAGCATTTTAGTTGGTAGTATTATTTCTCATAGTTCTTATTTTCAACGATTATGGTTTTTATTTTTCTCTGACTCTTCTTAGAGTTATTGATGTCTCTTAGGTAACCATACACCCAAACTTAAATATTGTTTTGTTAATTCATGCTAAAATCGTGTGTGTGTTTTGCTTCTTTCCATTTTTATCCAATTTCATTGCCATCAAGTAGTTTTTCAGAAAGAATACTAATTAAATATATTTTATAAACGAACAGTTTCCTATTTTTCTAAATGTGATTTTTAACAGCTTTCCTGAAGTATAATTAAAATATTGCAAAAAATACACCATTCAGTGATTTTTCATGTATTCACAGAGTTGTGTAATATCACCACAACCCAATTTTAGAACAGTTCTACCCCAAAAAGTTGCCTCGTGCCCATTTTTGCCCAATCACAGTCCCATCCAAGCCCCAGGAAACCACTAGTCTAAAAAGACTAGTCTCTTGATTTACTGTTCCTGGACATTTCATATAAATGGGATCAGACAAGTTGTAGTCTTATAGGTCTGGCTTCTTTCACTTAGCATAGTTTTTGAGGTACATCCTTGTTGTAGCCCATACCTGTAGGCTATTCCTTTATATTGCTGAGCAGCTGTCCATTGTACGGATGTGTGCCACACTTTCACCTGTTTATTAGCTGATGGGCATGTGGATAGTTTCTAGTTTGAGGCTAATATGAATCATGCTGCTATGAACATTCATATGCAAGTTTTTATGTGGACATATGGTTTCATTTTCCTTAGGTAGCTACCTAAAAGTGAAATTGCTGGGTCATATAGTATTATGTTTAATTTTTTTTAGAAACTGACAATTTTCCAAAGTAGTTCTAACATTTTACCTTTACCCCTCATACTAACAATGTATGAGGGGTCCAATTTCTTCACATCCTTGCTAACACTCGATATTATCTATCTTTTTAATTATAGCTGTTCTAGTGTTTATGAAGTAGTATTTTCACTGTGATTTTTAATTTGCATTACCTTAATAACCAATGATGTTGAGCATCTCTTCATGTGCGTATTAGTCATTCATGTATCTTCTCTGATGAAATGTCTATTCAAATCTGTACCTGTTGAGATGATCGTATTTTTTTCTCTTTAAATTTATTAATGAAATAGTTACATAAATAGATTTTAAAAGCGTTGAACCATCCTTGTAGTTTTGGATTAAACCTCACTTGGTTTAATATACTGCTGTGTTCAGTTTGTCCCCGCTTTATTTAGGAACTTTGAGTGTAGCTTTCTTTCTTTTGTGCTACCCTTGTCTTTTTTAATGTTAGGGTTATAGTATCCTCATTTTAAAAATAAAATATTTTACTTTTTGTATACTTATAAACCATTTAAGTAATCGAAATCATCTGTTTATTAATTGTTTGATGAAACTTCCCCTTAAAATGTTTCATTCCTGGCACCCTTTGGGGGATAAAGTTTCTATTATATTTTCAATTTATATTAGGTTATTCAAGTTTTTCACATCTTCTGAATCATTTTGAAAATTTATGATTTTGTAGAAAATGATTCATTACATTAAGATTTTAAGTTTTATTGGCATAAAGATACATATTATGTTCACTTGTAATTCTCAGATCTGTGGGTATATCTCCCTATGAATTCCTCATATTTATTAGGGAGCAATATAATGTAATATTAGCAATCTGGCCTCTGACATCACTTGGCTAACTCAGGATTCCAGCTCTGCCGCTTGCTTTCTGCTTAACCTTGGGCAAACTGCTTTTGTTACAGTTTCTACTTCTGTATAATAGGGATTATATCTCCCTCTAGCAAAAAATATTTGGGGGCCTACTTTGTGTCAGACACTGGTCTAGGTATTGGGAACACAACAGCAAACAAAACATAAAAATGTTATATTGATACAAATATTAAACAAGATAAAAATATCTGGTATATTAGAAGTGCTAAGGAAGAAAAATAAAGCAGGGAAGGGGAGAGGATGTGTTTACGATGATAATAATAATATCATTTTTACTAGATTGACATGGGAATTAAATGGGAAAATATGCATAAAGTGCTTAGCGCCGTACCTGGCACTTAGTGCTCAGTTTTATTTCTTGTAATACTACTACTCATTTTTCTCTTGATCAAATTTTTTAGTGGTTAAGACAATTTATTGGGCTTTCAAAACACCAGCTCAAGTCTAGTGTTATTTGATTTGCTTTTTCATTAATTTCTGCTTTTATCTTTCTGAATTCCCTTTTTCTGTCTTCTTTTCATTTATTTTTGAACTTCCTAAGCTAAATGCTTATTTATTTTCAGTCTTCTTATTTTCTCATAAATGCATTTAAGGCCATTTATTTTCTTCTGAGTACTTCTTTGACCATTTCTTTTGCTATACAGTGTTCTTTATTCATTTCTTATTTGTGTATAATTTTAGTTTTAGTCTTCTTCTTTAATCCAAGAATTTTTAGAGTGCTTTTAAAATTTTCCAGGTGGTTCAGATGTGTTTGATGCTCATGTGAATGTGTGTTAATTTGTCTAGCCTTTTGGTTTTTCTGTTTAGTTTTCTTCTTTATACTAGGCAATTGTGACTTGAAGGTTTTCAACTTTTAGGAATTTCCACTGTGATTGAACACTTGATTAGTTTTTTGCAAATGTTATGTTGAATAATTAGAAAGCATGTACAGTTAGCCGTCCGTGTCTGTGGGTTTTGCATCTGCAGTTTCAATCAACTACAGATTGAAAATGTTTGAGAAAAAATTTCAAAAGTTTCTGAAAAGCGAATCTTGAATTTGCCATACAGTGGCAACTATTTACACAGCATTTACGTTGTATTAGGTATCATAAGTAATCTAGAGGTGATTTAAAGTATATGGGAGGATATACATAGGTTATGTGCAAATACTAAGCCGATTTGTATAAGGGACTTAAGCATCCATGAGTTTTGGTATCTGACGGGTGTCAGGGCTAAGGGGGTAGGACCTGTGTCCTCGAACCAATCCGCCACAGAAATCGGGGACAACTGTATATTCCTGGTTTGCTGAGCATAAAAATTTTCATATGTGTGTGCTTATAAAATCAAACGTGATACCTTTGTGATTCAGATTTCCATATTGTTAATTAATTTCATTGAAATATAGTTGATGTACAATATTATGTTAGTTTCAGATACACTACACAGTGATTTGACATTTGCATACATTATGAGATGATCACCACAATAAGTCTAGCAACCATCTGTCCCATACAAAGTTATTGCAGTATTATTGATCATATTTCATATGCTGCATGTTACATTCCTGTGGTTTATTTAGTTTAAACTGGAGGCTTCTACCTCTTAATCCCCTTCACTTACTTTGCCCCCCACCCTCCTGGCAACCACCTGTTTGTTCTCTATGTTTATGAACCTGTGTCCATTTTGTATTATACTGTTTGTTTTGTTTTTTAGATTCCACATATAAGTAAGATCATATGGTATTTGTCTTTCTCTTTCTGGCTTATTTCACTTAGCATAATACCCTCAGGAACCATCTGTGTTCTTGCAAATGGCAAGATTTCATTTTTTATGACTAAGTAACATTCCGTTGTATATGTAAATCACATCTTCTTTATCCATTTATCTATCAGTGGGCACTTAGGTTCCTTCTGTATCTTGGCTATTGTAAATAAT